TCTATGAAGGCCGGCACGGCACACGAGGGGGGTGGGGTGGGGTGGGCAGCACCACGCCCGGCCGCCTTTGTCTCCCCGTTGGCGATGTTTACACATCGCGTTTGAGGCCTAGTCGAACTAGGGGAGGCCCAGGACCGGTTCAGATAATCGTCACCCGGTGTTGGCCTTGAGCGGGAATCGAACTCGGTTGGCCGGGTTCGTAGCGCTAACCGCTGCACCACCGCTCCCCATACACACGCAGTACAAAGCGTCCCACGTCCGAACCGCATAGCCGCATCTGAGCGAGTTCAAACCGCATAGTAGAGCGAATTTTTGGGGCTAGCTATGTCGGTTCGCCGCATATACACAGCGCGAAGTCGCGCAAACCGAACCCACACAAAGCGAGGGAAACCTTGTGTGTATATATATACTGCCTAGGGTTGTTGATAGATCCATTTCTACATAACCCCCAAAAAGCATGAAAAACCGGTAAAACCGGTTACCGGTTTGCCGCTCGAATAAACATGTCTTGCAAAAAAAAAGACGTTCAAATTTTTAGTGTTTTCGGTAAAGTCACGTTGAAGAGAAACAACAACATAATAAAATATATATAAAACAATAAAAAAATTCTCACGACGTTTCGACCATAACTCAAACGGTCATCTTGAGATTCACACCTGAAGATGACCGTTTGAGTTATGGTCGAAACGTCGTGAGAATTTTTTATTGTTTTATATACATTATTATTTTGTTGTTTCTCTTCAACGTGACTTTACCGAAAAAACTAAGAATATGAATTACTGCAGTCACGAAAGCTTTAAATCAAAACGTTCAAATTCGTTTACATTTTTTTACAAAAACTTTGAGAAATGACGAGAAATGCTGCAACACCACCACCAACCACGCGGGTGACTTGGAGGTGCCGTGCCGTTTCCGACTTTCGTAACCGCTAACCGATACCGGTTTAGCCGGTTACCGATTAAAAAAGAAACCCAACAACATCGGCAGCGCGAGTCCTCGCTTCGCGCGTGGCGCTGTTCACATTGCGACGCGGTTTCGCTGCGACGCGGTTCTTCCATTGGAGAACGTCTCTCGCACAACGCGAATCGCGCGTGCCGCTCTAACGCTGAACACGCGCTCCACTATAACACTGAACACGTGCACCACCATAACACTGAACACACGCACCACTATAACACTGAACACGTGCACAACTATAACACTGAACACGTGCACCACTACAACACTGAACACGTGCACCACTATAACACTGAACACGTGCACCACTATAACACTGAACACGTGCACCACTACAACACTGAACACGTGCACCACTATAACACTGAACACGCGCTCCACTATAACGAGCTACTTTGTTGAGCTGCGCGGCTGAGCGGTACGGTACAGAACGAGGAACGTTCCGGTGAACGTGGTGGCTTACCCTCAGCTATTCGGCCCGGCACATCTCAGCGTGCGCGTGAGCAGTGGTGTTTCGTACCTCGCCAAACTCTACCGCGACTACTACTTTACTTGATGGGGACATTGCTTCGGCCTGACGCGTTTTTTTCGCTTTGCGGTGTGTAAAATAATCGCCACTTGGGAGACAAAGGCGGAAAGGGCGTGGTGTTGGCCAATCCATCCCCTCGTGTGCCGTGCCGGCCTTCATAGTTGCACACTTACAGCACTTGCTCCAACATCTTGGCAAGGCTATACGGGGGACCTTTGTCTGTGGTATGTGTGTGGGCTCTGGTGTGTATGCGCTGTGTGTGTGTGTGTGTGCGCTGTGTGTCGAGGGTGTGTGGTATATAGGTGTGTGCTGCGAGGTTTGTGGGGTGTGGTTTTGTGTCACGGTTGTGTGTGTGTTCGCAAGTGTATGGGGTGTGTTTGTACGTGATTAGGTGTGTCATTAATCCCACGTAATGTTAATCATGAGGTCGTAAGTGGCGTCCTGTGTAAGGGGTGTGTGTGTGTGTGTCAGTGCGTGCGAGTGTGTGTCATTGTCAACTTCGGTGGACGTCAGTGTGTGTATGGATGCATGTGTTTGTTGGGGAGCGGTGGTGTAGCGGTTAGCGCGCTGCGAATACGAACCTGGCGATCCGGGTTCGATTCCCGCTCACGGCCAACATCAGTTAAGATTGTCTGAGCCGGTCCTGGGCCTGCCCTAGGTCGACTCAACCTCAAATGAGTACCTGGTGCGGTGCGTTAAGACATCGCCAGTGGGGAGACAAAGGCGGTCGGGCGTGGTGCTGACCACCCACCCCCTCGTGTACCGTGCCGGCCTTCATAGGTGCTCGCTAACAGCACTTGCCCCAACAGTCTGTTAAGGCTACACGGGGGATCTTTGTGTATGTGTAGAGCAGTCGAGCTTGCTTGTTGTTACTGTGTTGTCAGGCACTTCACAATGTTTTGATAGATTATAATCGTTTCTTACACTCGCGATTAGACACACCTTTAATATATTTGCCTTATCTCGTATACCCAGTGCTTAAGTCCCGAACAGTCCGCAATTCATTTTGGCCACACCACATATTCATCTCGATTTACATTGCCCTACACCTGTTCGCACGACTGATTAAATGATAACTTAACATAGGGTACTAAAATACAGGAGCATTTAGCATATGCATATACCATACGAACTCTCGTGGTGTATATGTAATTGCGTTGGACTTCTTTCGCACCGTACGCAGCCAACCGTGCTAATCGGAAACAATGGCGGAGCCAGGATTTTCAGGTGGGGGGGGGGGGGGCATCCTCCCCTCTAGCAATGGAATATGCTAGGAGTTGTTAGTAAGTAAGGAGTTGTTAGTAAGTAAGGAGTTGTTAGTAGTAAGTAAGGAGTTGTTAGTAGTAAGCAAGGAGTTGTTAGTAAGTAAGGAGTTGTTAGTAAGTAAGGAGTTGTTAGTAAGGAGTTGTTAGTAAGTAAGGAGTTGTTAGTAAGTAAGGAGTTGCTAGTAAGTAAGGAGTTGTTAGTAAGTAAGGAGTTGTTAGTAAGTAAGGAGTTGCTAATAAGTACGGAGTTGTTAGTAAGTAAGGAGTTGTTAGTAAGTAAGGAGTTGTTAGTAAGTAAGGAGTTGCTAGTAAGTAAGGAGGTGTTGTTAGTAAGGAGTTGTTAGTAAGTAAGGAGTTGTTAGTAAGTACGGAGTTGTTAGTAAGTAGTTGTTAGTAAGTAAGGAGTTGTTAGTAAGTAAGGAGTTGTTATTAAGTAAGGAGTTGTTAGTAAGTAAGGAGTTTTAGTAAGTCAGGAGTTGTTAGTAAGTACGGAGTTGTTAGTAAGTAAGGAGTTGTTAGTAAGTAAGGAGTTGCTAGTAAGTAAGGAGTTGTTAGTAAGTAAGGAGTTGTTAGTAAGTCAGGAGTTGTTAGTAAGTACGGAGTTGTTAGTAAGTAAGGAGTTGTTAGTAAGTACGGAGTTGTTAGTAAGTAGTTGTTAGTAAGTAAGGAGTTGTTAGTAAGTAAGGAGTTGTTATTAAGTAAGGAGTTGTTAGTAAGTAAGGAGTTTTAGTAAGTCAGGAGTTGTTAGTAAGTACGGAGTTGTTAGTAAGTAAGGAGTTGTTAGTAAGTAAGGAGTTGTTAGTAAGTAAGGAGTTGCTAGTAAGTAAGGAGTTGTTAGTAAGTAAGGAGTTGTTAGTAAGTCAGGAGTTGTTAGTAAGTACGGAGTTGTTAGTAAGTAAGGAGTTGTTAGTAAGTAAGGAGTTGTTAGTAAGTACGGAGTTGTTAGTAAGTAGTTGTTAGTAAGTAAGGAGTTGTTAGTAAGTAAGGAGTTGTTATTAAGTACGGAGTTGCTAGTAAGTAAGGAGTTGTTAGTAAGTAAGGAGTTGTTAGTAAGTAAGGAGTTGTTAGTAAGTAAGGAGTTGCTAGTAAGTAAGGAGTTGCTAGTAAGTACGGAGTTGTTAGTAAGTAAGGAGTTGTTAGTAAGTAAGGAGTTGTTAGTAAGAAGTTGCTAGTAAGTAAGGAGTTGTTAGTAAGCAAGGAGTTGTTAGTAAGTAAGGAGTTGCTAGTAAGTAAGGAGTTGTTAGTAAGTACGGAGTTGTCAGTGGTAAGTAAGGAGTTGTTAGTAAGTAAGGAGTTGTTAGTAAGTACGGAGTTGTCAGTAAGTAAGGAGTTGTTAGTAAGTAAGGAGTTGTTAGTAAGTACGGAGTTGTTAGTAAGTAAGGAGTTGTTAGTAAGTAAGGAGTTGTTAGTAAGGAGTTGTTAGTAAGTAAGGAGTTGTTAGTAAGTAAGGGGTTGTTAGTAAGTAAGGAGTTGTTAGTAAGTAAGGAGTTGTTAGTAAGGGTCGAATTCGAACCGCGTGGTGTGATCGGCATCATGCTCGCTGAAGGTGTTGATGCCTTCAGGGAAGTCGTGTCCTGTATACACAACTACGCACAATTCTGTGAGTCACTTGTAAACTGCTTTGCCGTTACTTATTGCCAATGATGGACCTAGACTATTGCCCTATTATCTCATAGAGTCCCTGGCACGTAATAATAATAATATGCTACACAGTGGCAGTGGGGGTCGCAGAATGCCGATGTATTACTAATAAACCCAAATGATCCGATCGAAATTAGGGATTTCGATCGGATCATTGGGGGGGGGGGGGGGGGCCCGGGCCCCCCCCCCCCCCCTTACTGACTCCGCCAGTGATCGGAAAGATGCGGGGGAAGGACGACAACAAACGAAACGCAAAAAGCAGTTCTATAAGAAATGGGTTTTAAATGTATATTTTAAAGTGCTTCCTAATATCGGTACGAAAGAGCGTTCCAGACGGCCGCAGAAGCGCATGGTCGTGCCTTACGCCGTGAAGTAAATCCTCAAAGGCAAGTTTATATTGGTTAAACTTACTTTGGCTAAATTTTGATTTAAAGCTTTCGTGACTGCAGTGATTCATATTCTTGGTTCTTTCGGTAAAGTCACGTTGAAGGGAAACAATAAAATAATAAAATATACATAAAACAATACAATTCTCACGACGTTTCGACTGCAACACAAGCAGTCATCATCAGGTGTGAAAACCAACGGCAAGAAACATTTGAAAGAGGTGGCGGTTTGTATATATATTTTTTTATTTTTTACTTTGGCTAGACCAGGTGAGAAGGCAGGAGGCCGGGATGATGGAGGTTCATTTGCAAGAGAGCGGCCTGGCTCACCAGATAAACACAAACACGCTGGCGTCGTTCCCGCAAATATCACGCGTGGAGGTGAGGCCCCGATTATGATAGACATTGAACTGACTGTGTCCACGGTCTCCAGCAGAAGATACTGAGCGATGCAAAGTTACAAGATCACAGCGTGACATGGGAAGGAGGAGATGGAGAAGAAGGAGATGTAGGGAAGAGGACGTACATGGGGAGGATGAGGAAGGAGACATGGGGAGATTTTGGAGACATGGGGAGGAGGAGGACACGGGGGAAGAGAAGAAAAACAGGGATTGGACGGTTAAGAGACCAAACAATTCCGAAATCAAAATCGCAACCTCGAATCGCAACGATTAATCGAATCGCGACGTGCCAATTCAAGAAAACGCATTTGCTCTCATATATTACAATCATAGTGCTGCTTGTTGCTGGCCGTTTGATGTTTGGGGCGGTGGACCTTTGGCTTGTGCCCCAGCAATTCTATAATACAGGTAACTCCTCTAGTTACGACCATTTGACTTACGAACTTTCAGAGATGCGAACAAACCTGTCCCTATGTCGAGATGCCTGTTCGGATCGACAGTCGTAAATCCAACCGCCGCGTAATGAATGACGGTGGTGACATCTGCAGAACGTGAAAAACCAGTGGCATCGACAGGAGATTATGCAACCTTTCAAGACATTCCCCGTGTGTAATGTACGCGCCGTAAAACACGTTTGGAATCGACAGGAGTAAAAGTTGGACTTACAAACAGATCGACTTACGAACAGACCTCTGGAACCTAACTCGTTCGTAGGTAGAGGAGTCCCTGTAGTAATAATAATAATAATAACCATATACGAGTCGAGGCTGTGGCTGGCCCCGGTCGCATTGAGGCCCAGGGGTACGGGATTGGTGGTGGTGATGGTGGTGGTGATGATTTAGATAATGATGGTAATGATGTTGATGTAGGTACTGTACGCATATGGCGGTGATTTGATGTGTAGGTGATTAAAGTGATGATAGTTTAGGGTGATTATGGTGATTATCATATGTAGGTAATGATGATGGCGGTGGTGATGATTAAGATGTGTAGATGATGGGAATTTATTGTGATCCGGATGTGTAGATGATGATGGTTGTGGTGATGATACATTTGATATGTAGGTGATGGTGATTTAGGGTGATGATGGTGATTTTCACATGTAGATAATGATGAAGGCAGTGGTGATGATTAAGATGTGTAGATGATGATGGTGGCGGTGATGATGACGACATGGGGTTAGGATGATAGTGATTTAAACGATGATGATGACGACGACGATGGTGGTGGTGATTTAGATGATGATCATCATGGAGACGAGGGTTATCGATTATTATATAAAAATGTTATTCATCGCGGGGGCCAAAGGCGGCCGCTGGTGGCCTTTAATGCGGCTCCCGAACAATACAGAGTGAAAGCACCCCCCCCCAAAGGCTTCAAATGTGTGGCGGAGGCACCCTTACACTGATGATGTCTTCTTATCGGCGAAATGCCTCCCCCCCCACCTCTGAAAATGAGTGATCACTGCTGCAGAACTTGGCGGCGGCAGCGGCGATGATGATCATGGTGATGTTAATGACGCGATGTGATGATTTAAATTACGATGATTGATTTAGACTCTTGGTAATACGAGATAATAGTGGCGATGACGATCTCAGGGTGATGATCTCAAGGTGTTGATGATCTCATGGTGATGATCTTATTGTGGTGATCTCACGGTGATGATGATCTCATGGTGATCATGATCTCAGGGTGATGACATCATGGTGATGATTATCTCATGGTGATGATTATTTCATGGTGATATCTCATGGTGATGATCTCACGGTGATCATGGTTATCTCATGGTGATGATTATTATCTCATGATGATCTCAGGGTGATGATGATCTCATGGTGATGATGATATCATGGTGAAGATGATTATCTCACGGTGATGATGATATCATGGTGATGATGATCTCATGGTGAAGATGATTATCTCATGGTGATGATGATCTTATGGTGGTGATGATGGTGATCTCACGGCGATGATGATTTAAACTTACTCTCCCTCGTCCCACGTGACCAACACCCAGGCACATAATGGCCACAACCCATACCATCCCCTCTGTACATAAAACCCTTGACACCTACCCAAGTAAAGTACATTACATAGAACGACTTACGCATACTATATATACAAAACGTTCGCCACCCCCGTATCGTCCTGAGCCAAGTGCTGTTAGCGAGTAGCAGCAGCAGCAGCACCCATTAAGGCCGGCACTGTGGCACACGACGGGGGTGTGGATTGCCAGCACCACGCCTGGCCCGCCTTTGTCTCGCCAAGTGGCTCATTTGAGGCCGAGTCGACCTAGGAGATTCCTGGTCGCCTGGGTCCGTAGCGCGTCGCGACAGCCGCGAGACACAAAACCACAATCAGCTGCCATTCTCGACGCACTGTTGGATGAAGGCTCCCCCCCCCGCCTCCCACACACAAACAAACAATTGGCAAACAGCGCTCCGTCTCCGCTCAGGTGGTGGCACCGCCCCGCCACACGCCACGCTATGCCGTGGTATCCATCTGTGCGGAGTCCTCGCATGAGTTAAAAGTAGAGTTCTGATCTCGGTACACACGGAGTGATGGGGACTTGTGTGCAGCTGGGGATCAGGACTTGAGGGTTTTAAGGTGCAGGGTTAGGACTCACGTTGAGGGTTAGGTGGTTAATAATAGCTTGAGGTTAGGGGTTAGGTTAATGGTGGAGTTTAGGGTTTACAGGGTCCGGTGATGCCCGGGATGTCGCTGTGTGGCCAGGTGCAAGACTCTCACGGTCAGCAGCGTGTCCAGGTGAGACGAATCCATCCAGGTGAGTCGACGATGACAATAAAGGCGGTAGTCGTGGTGGTGGTGGCCGTGGTTGACGGGACCCTTCCGAGACCCCCATTCGGGCGAGAGGGGGGTTGTGCGTGCCAGGGGGTTGCCGGCACGACGTGGGCCTCTACCACGCCTAGTAGAGGCTTCGCCGCACCGCCCGGGCCGGCGAGACCCTGGGGATCACGAACATCGGCCCCCGGCCAGACGCGGGATTCCACGCGGCCGAGGTAAACCCGCCCGCGCTCCGCAGGGGCCCCGCCGGGGCCGCGCGGCGCAACCGCGAGGCGGGAGACTCGGCGAAGACGCTGCCCCGGGGCCGGTGGCGCAGCATCATGGCCGGGGAGGAGGAGCAGGCGAGGAGGGGGGCCCGCGGGGCCTCGGCTGGGCCGCGGCCGTCGACGACGACGACGCCGCCGCCGCCGGGCCTAGCGAGGTCCTTCCTCTCCGCGTTGCCGTTCACGAGGTCGGTGATGGTGGTAGTGCCGCTGCTGCTGTTGTTGTTAAGAGGCCGATGCTGTTTATGGGGGTACTGGTAATGGTTCACGGGGCTCAGGCCGTGACCGTCATCGTCGATGTCCTCCTCTCCGTTGACGTCGCCAGACGCCTTCGAGGTCTCCTTCCCCTCGTCCATCGCCTCGTCCATCACCTCGTTGTCCTCCTCCTCCTCCTCGTCCTCGTCCTTTGAGAAGATTTTCACGGTATTCCTCTCCATGACAAACACCACGCTCCTGGTGCCGCTGGTGCCGCCGCCGCTGCTGCCGCCGCTCTCCGCGGCCCCTTGCGCGGTCGGCGACCTCCTCAGGGCCGACTTGAGGGCCCGGGTGGCGGGCGACATCTCGGGGGTTAACAACTGAGGGGGTACCTGGGGGGGTACCTGGGGGGATACCTGGGGGTGTACCTGAGGGGATATCTGAGGGGGTACCTGGGTGGACGCCTGAGGGGACATCTGAGGGGATACCTGAGGGGATACCTGAGGGGGCATCTGAGATGATATCTGAGGGGATACCTGAGGGGACGCCTGAGATGATATCTGAGGGGATACCTGAGGGGATACCTGGGGGTGTACCTGAGGGGACGCCTGAGATGATACCTGAGGGGATACCTGAGGGGATACCTGGGGGTGTACCTGAGGGGACGCCTGAGGGGATACCTGAGGGGATACCTGAGATATCTGAGGGGGTACCTGAGGGGACATCTGAGATGATACCTGAGGGGATACCTGAGGGGACACCTGAGATGAGATCTGAGGGGGCATCTGAGATGATATCTGAGGGGATACCTGAGGGGACATCTGAGATGATATCTGAGGGGATACCTGAGGGGACACCTGAGATGAGATCTGAGGGGGCATCTGAGATGATATCTGAGGGGATACCTGAGGGGACATCTGGGATGATATCTGAGGGGATACCTGAGGGGACATCTGAGATGATATCTGAGGGGATACCTGAGGGGACGCCTGAGATGAGATCTGAGGGGATACCTGAGGGGACGCCTGAGATGAGATCTGAGGGGATACCTGAGGGAACGCCTGAGATGAGATCTGAGGGGATACCTGAGGGGACATCTGAGATGAGATCTGAGGGGATACCTGAGGGGACGCCTGAGATGAGATCTGAGGGGATACCTGAGGGGGCATCTGAGATGAGATCTGAGGGGATACCTGGGGGTGTACCTGAGGGGATGTCTCGGTGGGTACCTGAGTGTATAGCTGAGGAGATATCTCTTGAGGCGCCTGAGGGGGTACCTCAAGGGGTACCTGAGGGAGGATCTGAGTCAGGACCTGAGCGGATGACTGAGGCAACACCCCAGAGGGTGCCTGAGGGGTCACCTCATTCGGTAGCTGAGGGGATATCTGAGGCACGAATACCTCAAGGGGCGCCTGAGGGGGTAACTCAGTCGGGACCGGAGCGATTACCTCCGTGGACACCTGAGTGGGTACCTGGTGGGACATCTCAGCCGGTACCTCAGTCGCTCCCTCAGGGGGTGCCTGAGTCGGTGCCATGCGGGGCCCCTCATGGGGACCCGTGGACGCGAACGTGGCCCCCGGGGGTCCCAGCAGCGCCTCCATCCCTGCGGCACCCGACGCCCGGGTGACCTTGCAGACCCTTTCTTAGTAGGCCGACGAGGTGTCCGGCCGGTCACCTGGATATCTCGCTTGCCTTGGCTGGTTATCTTTCTGCTCGATCGCCGCCGAGTCTTGCGGGTTTCTCCCCTCCCCCCACCCCCGCCCCCCCGACGCCCTTGCGTGCCTTGGCCAGGTAGGCGTCTCACTCCGACAGGTGCCTGGGAAGGAACCAAGGCGTCTCGAAAGGGCCCCGGTGACGCCTGGCCACCAAGGCGGGCGGCCTCGCTCCTCTCCCGTCACCGGCGTCCCGGCGCTCGCGATGCCTTCGCGCCTTCGTCTCGAGTCATCGGCTTGCCGCAGGTCGAGTCTTCCCAAGATGCCCCCTTGTGCCCTGGGCCCGGGGGTTGTTGGGGGGGGTGGTTCACACCTGCAACGCCAAAGACAAAGGATGCCCCAGATAGACTTTTTAGCAGACTGCCAATTGCTGATGTGTCACGAGCAGCACCTCTGAAAGGCAGACACCGAGGGTGGGGTTAGGAGTGGCAAGCACCGTGCGCGGCCGTCTTTGTCTCTCCCCCCCCCCCCCCCCCCCCCCCCCCGCTGGCGATGTTTACGACCCACCGCGCCAGGAACTCACCTGAAGGCGAGTCGACACCCCTGGAGAGGGGAGGGCCCTCCAGGACCGGGTTCGGATGATCCTCGTCGCCGGTGCTGTTGGGGGATAGTTCGTGAGCGGGGAACCGAAGTCGAGTCTCTGACGGGATCGTCGCGCAGCGCTAAGCTCTGCGCCACCGCTCCCCGTACACCAACACCAGCGCGGTGTACAGGTGTGTGTACAGGTGTGTGTACAGGTGTGTGTACAGGTGTGTGTACAGGTGTGTGTACAGGTGTGTGTACAGGTGTGTGTACAGGTGTGTGTACAGGTGTGTGTACAGGTGTGTGTACAGGTGTGTGTACAGGTGTGTGTGTGTGCACAGGAAGCCGCGTCTTCCTTCAACGCGCGCACCACACACACGCACACGCACAGGTACAAAGTTAAAGATCCCCCGTATATCCTACAACAGACTGTCGGGGCGAGTGATGTTAGCGCGCACCTATGAAGGCCGGAACGGGACACGCTAGGGGTGGATGGGCAGCACCACGCCCGATCGACAGGTACACACAGGTACACACAGGTACACAATGATCCCCCCCCCCCCCACCCGTATAGCCTGAACAGACTGTTGGGGAAAGTGCTGTTAGCGAGCACCTACACAGGTAACGCCGCACAGGTAACGCGCCGCAGGTAACGCCGCACAGGTACGCACATCGGCCCGTGTGCGTGGCGCGATACGTGTACGCACCTGGGGCCCACCTGGGCGTAGACCTGTGGGAGGTGGTCGGGCAGCGATGATTGCTCAGCGTCACGACGATCCCGCACCCTTTTCTTTGTGTGTGTGTGTGTGTTGTGTGCGTGTGTTGTGTGTGTGTGGTGTGTGTGTGTGGTGTGTGTGTTGCCAGACGGCCCATCCCATTTTAAACGTCGCATACCAGGGGTGGCGTGCGGAACCCGTACCCCACCCAAGTCTGAGGCTTCCACCCCCCCCCCCCCCCATCATTCCCACCACCACCACCACCACTCCCACCACCACTCCCACCACCACCTTACCTCTCTGTCAGCTCTCATTCAGACGTTTTCTTTTTCCTCCCTCCCCCCCTAGCTGATGGTTGCCAGGCACTGACTCAGATGACTCTGGAGAGAGTGAGAGAGTGAGAGAGTGGGGTGTGGATGGGAGAGTTGAGCAGAGTAGTTACTGTATGCACGATCCACTGCTGGATGAAGGGTTTACCCTCGTCTCTCCGCTGATGTGCGGCGGTTATAACAACGGCCGCGGCAGCGACAGTCGCCGTGCGCCACGAAGTTTAGGTGAAGCCCCCACGGCGCTTGTGCCAGGCTAGGTGCACTTCGAGGCCACGCGGAGTGTCGAAGGCTCGCTGGCCAGGAGGTCACGGGACAGACCCTGCAGGTGCCACGTGGGTCGACTGACTGAGATGACCGCCAGATGCACCGCCTTGTGACCCCAATCTTGTGCCAATTTTTCCGCGTGCCGTTCGCTGTTGTGACTTGAGCACTGTACGGCAAGGCCGTAATTATAATATATATTTGGGGGGGGGCACATATTGGGGGGGACACATCCCCCCAAATATTAAAATACGCTCAAAATGTCCCCCCCCCCCCAATATATTGCTATGAAATAGATTAATGTTTATGTGACTGTGGTTATGGTTGTACTTTTTTAATCCCTAATCTCTGCCATTACAAACAACGAAACAAGAAAAGGTAAACAAAAATAATAAAAAAAGAGCAATGTAATACAATAACACTATTAGACATTATTGTAACAAAATACATAAAAAGTCCATCCTATATGTTAGTGAATTTTTTTTATATTTTAGGCAGGAAATTAGTTTTCAAATTTCGATGTTTTTTCTGGGGGGGGGACCCCAGACCCCTTTGAAGATTTGCCCCCCCCCCCCCAATGTTCACATCATCGCTACGGCCTTGCTGTACGGACGCTCCACCGCTGGATGAATGTTCATCCTTCACCTCTCCACCGCCGTAGCGCTGCTTATAACAAAGCACGCGATCTCGAGCCATCCATCCCCATCATCATCATCATCGTCGACAACATCACCGCCACGACACCCAAGACCACGACCGTTGCCACAATCCCATCAACTTGCAGCAGCCCCGTCCCCACGTGACTTGGCAATGGCCAACTCGTGAGAGTGATGGCGTTGCTCTTATTTTTTGTTTGTTATATAAATAAAAATATATAATATACGTTCGGTTGTTTAAAATGTGCGGGGGATGTATGCCGCGCTGATGAGTCACGCGTCATCGTTCGGAGCGGGTTTATCCATGCTTCGCCACGCTGGTCAATGCGATGTGGTGAAGGCGCGGCGGGCGGGGGGCATAGGAGTATCGTACAACAAGTGATATTGCTGCTCTCTCTCTCTCTCTCTAGTTTTGCGGCTGAGTTGACGCAGAGGAAGTAAGTCCCGAGACCGGTTCTGATCATCACTCGACGCTGCTGTTAGCCGTGACCCGAAATCGAACTCGGGTCACCGGGTTCAAGGCGCAGTGTGCGCTAACCACTGCGCCACCGCTCCAAGGCAGGTGATAATTTAAGGATGAGTCGCCCGATGTGAGAACCCAATCCGGTTTTATTTTTTTTACGAGTAACCTCGGGCAACAGCGTGCGTCACAACCGGGCATTCAACTCAAATTGGCGGCGTTATGGCAACGCGAATATACAAAGTCAAAGGTTCCTCCTCTCCCCCCCCGTGTAGCCTCTCACAGACACGGGCAAGTGCTGCGAAGCGAGTTAGCAGCGGCGAAGGCCGGGGCAGGCGCACGTGGCGGTGGTGGCTGGCCAGCACCACGCCCGGCCGAGGCTTTTTGTTGTTGTTGTTGTCACATGCTGATGTTTACACACACATACCCACACAACGCACCAAGGTGCCGTCACACGGCGTCACAAAAAGTCAGACCCCCCCCCCTCAAATATGACGTCATGAAGCTCTGCGCCCCCCCCCCCCCAAATAAAACATGCTTCAAATCGCTTTAAACTATTGTCATTTGTAGTGCGTATTTAATGTGGCGCTGCACTCTGCTGTTGTAGGAGAAAACATTTATTAAAAAGTCTTTAATTAACGTGTTGTCTATATTTATTTAAAGTTGCGCATTTTGATGTGACGTCACATTTCTCAACCCCCCCCCCCCCCCTCGTCACACATCGTCACAAATGTCTGACCCCCCCCCCAACCCCCCAGGTGCGTGACGTCATTTATGGACGACCCCATATATACAGACGTACAAAGATCCCCCCGTGTAGCCTTTTCACAGACTGTCGGCGCGATGTTGAACACCCTCACGTTCATGCCGTTTCACGGGGTGAGCGCTTAAGAGGCAATTACCGTGGCATTCGTGAGCGTGACCTGCGTTTGCAATAGCGACAAGCACTGTTCGCTTGTAGCCCGTGGACAACGCCACGCCCGGCCGCCTTTGTCTCCCCGAGCGGCGATGTTTCCAGACGCAGCAGCAGCAGGTACACGTCTTTTTTAGGCTGAGTCGATCTATTGGGAGGCCCAGGACCGGTTGAGATCATCGTCACAGTGGGTGTCGGTGGTGGCCGTGCGTTGGAGTCCAACTCGGACGTCCGGTTCAGTGGCGCGGCGCGCGACCGCTCCCCACTAACACAAGGCAAAGCTCCCCCGTATAGCCTTCCAGGCTGTTGGGACAAGTGCTGTTAGTGAGTTAGCCCCCGCGAAGGCCGGAAGAGCAGGCGAGGGGGTGGGTGGCCCGCACCGAAGACAAAGATCCCCCGTATAGCCTTACCGGTGTTTTTGGGGCAAGTGCTGTTAGGGAGCACCTGTGAAGGCCGGCACGGCAGACGAGGGGCTGGGGGGTGGGCAACACCACGCCTACAGCGATGTGGACTCGCATGCACTCAGGACACATACCTACAAACATCTCTGCACATACCTAGGTATACATAAATCAGGATGCCTACAAAGACAAGGATTCTCCGTATAGCCTTGGTGGTGGGTGGCCAGCACCACTCCCGGCCGCCTTTGTCTTCCCAGGAGCGATGTTTACACGTCACACCGGTTACTCATTTGAGGCCGAGTCGGTCTAGGGGGAGGCTCTGGACCCGGTCCATGTCACCGGTGTTGTCCACGAGCTGGAGTCGAACCCGGGTTGCCGGGTTCGTGGCGCAGCGCGCTTAACCACATGCTCGAGACAAACAATCGCCGCTCGCCACTACGTGACGGTGACGGCGCCTGTGCCAGGCTAGGTGCACTTCGAGGCCACGTGAAGTGTCGGCTGCTCGCTGCTGGCCAGGAGGTCACGGGACAGACCCAGGTGCCATGGGTTGACTTGAGATGACTGGCAGATGCAGCGAATGCGCTCCACACGGTGCCGCCACGCTCACTCTTTGAGGACAAATCCCCGGCATTGCTTGTGACGGACTGCCGGGGCAAGTGCTGTTCGCGAGCACTTACGAAGGCCGGAACGGCACACGAGACGGCGGGGGGTTGGGCAGCACCACGCCCGGCCGCCTTTGTATCCCCAGTAGCGATGCTTACCGGGTTACTCATTTGAGGTTGAG